TCCACTTCGATTTGCTTTCTTGTAGCATTTATAGCCACATCCGTTTTTCAATCAAGTTTCTAAAGAAACTGCATTGCAAATTTCTTTAAGTCATGGACTTCCCTTGCTCATCTTCTTCTCTTTCCCACCCCAAAGTCTGTGGCAGTGTGTAACACATGTCTGTTCAATAAATGCAGACCATCTCAAAAGGATAACAGCTCCCTCAAAAGTGTCAAGATGGAGACATCAGAGCATGTTGACATTTTTATTCTTCTTAATTCTTGTGCACACCGATGGCTGGAGGCCTTCCATTGTCTCCTGGTCTGAGCGCTCTATGTATGCTTGTCAAAATAATGAAAATGTCTGGCTATGTCATTGATCAAACCTCATGGAGTGAAAAAACAAGCCTCGGAAGGCTTGGTTCTGCTTTCAAAAGTACCAGACACAAGGCTGCTGGTGCAAAGTCCCTTGTGAAAGGCTGGCCCAAATGACAAGCTGTAAAGGTACAGACTTGGAGTTATGCCCTGTAACAGTGTCTGAAATCAATATCCATAGCACAGAAGGTGGTGGAGGATCAGAGGCTTGCAGTGCTGCCTCTGACATTTCAGGAGCATCTCAGTTGCCCCCCAGGGTGGTCTGGTCTCATTCAAGCCCAGACTGGTGCTGGGCGGGGGGAGCCCGAGCTCTTCTCTTTAGAAATCTTGGAGCAGTTTTTGATCTGTGCAAACCATTGGGAGGAAAAGAGACCCGAAACCCTTGGCTTGTGTTTTGTTTTAGCAGAGCCAGTTTTAAGTGAATTGATTTGTAGGGCTGCTGCCACAAAAAGAGTGATTCATTTTGCTGCTGGGTGAGAGAAACAGTAAAATGAGGCTGTTCTTGATGGATCCCTAGGGCCAGCCCATGCGAGAGGTGGATGGCCTGCCTTGCCAGTGGGTGAGAACACCAGCAAGCTCCTGGAGTACATTTCTTGTGCAAAATATCCAGTGCAGTGTCTGGCAGAGCACTGATGTTCCTGAGGATTAGGGCCCTTGTCTAATGTGGTGACATCTAAGTCTTCTATTGACATTAATATGGTGTGTCCCCATTTTATGCACGATGTGTATAGATGCCCGTGGTATACTTGTGAAATATGGAGTTATTTTTGGCAATTTTCAAAGGGCCAGTGAGCATCCAATTTCTCTTGTGGGGTGTCCCCTTATCTCCCTGATTTCTTTCTTTCAGCAACTTCCAGCACCCCCTACTTGTTTATCTGTTGTGCCCTGAGACTTAACTCCCTCCTGAAATATGATAACGGTGCTTTCTAGTTGGTCTTTCTGTCCCTATTCTTCTGTCTCTAATTGAGTCCCCTGCCTTCATTGTGTTCATTCTAACTCAGATAGGTTCATTCTTATTCCTGGCATTGAGCTCCTCTGATGCCTCTCATTATTATTGTTAGGGTATTTCCAAAAATGTTTGAATTGGATCATTGCATCCTTGCCTCAGCCCATGTGCCAAGTCCCGTGTCTGGACTCTCCTTTCCGTATATTTCTTTTCAAGGAAGGTAGAACTGTTTACCCCAACTCTGACATAACTGTACTATTACTCATTTGTGTGGCAAGCTCCTTCCCATCTGTCAAGACTCTGCTCAAATGCCATTTCCTTTCTGTAATTCTTCATGCTTCTTGACATGAATAATTAATTGATCTACCCCTCTCTGATCCCTTATAATGTTGTACATATTTTACAATAACGTTTATCATTCTGGGTTATTTTACTATTGATACTCATTTGCATATTATCTTCCGTGATAAGCGGTAGAGACAGGAACTCTACCTTGATTTATGTTTGAATTTCTGGTACCTATCATGGTGCATGCTATTTGTCTAATAGGTGCTTTGACAAAAGTCTGGGTTGAAACTTTAACTTCGAGACGCATTCGTCTTTTAGATTTGAGCATCCATGCATATGACATATTGATAAGTTAATATTTATTGGTTATTGATACTGTTTTAGGGTTGACTATGGAAATTGTTATCTTAAAATTAGATTCCATTGGATCTTGGCATTACAAGGTTCTTAAGAGGCTCATGACTGACGTACTCTTTTGGTTTAGAACAAATTTTTCATTGCCAAAAAATTCTGAGCCCTAATGCATCCAACATCCTGCATAGAATAATAAAGGGTCTGTACACTTTGTGGAGTCAATCCAAAAGAATGACCTACTTAGAAATCTCCAACTGAGAAGAATCTTTTAGAAAGAGGAGTCCATTTGATTTTCCTGTTTGGTGACTTATCTATGGGGAAGATAGGCTTGTGTATGAGAAACTCAGGTTTCATGATTTTTGTTTTCATTACCCGGGGCCAGATTCGTTACTGATACTCCAAAGGTTCTGTCTAGGCCCTGTTGTTTGCTGCACAGAATGCCAATCACTAAGACAAATGAGTATTGCCAGGGAAGAAGGCTTTAGTCACCTGTAATCAGATGCTATAGTTAAGGAGAAGGGGAGATACATTCTCAAATCTGTCTCCCCAGCTTATGAAAATTGGGGGATTTATATAGCAAGGAAAGCAGGAAAGCAGGAATTAGGGACAGGTAAGAAGGCAATCATGATAGATGAGGAAACTGGCATCTCATTGGATGTGGTGATCTGATGAGTTTCAGAAAATCTGATGAGTTTCATTCTCTTGCCTGAGGGTCAGTTTCTTGAGGAAGGAACTCAGGTGAGACAAATGTAAGTTTCAAGTTTTAAGACAAGGGAGGGTCAATTTCTATGTTTATTCAAAAATCATAAATACTAGTTCTATGGGAAAATCGGATGGTTTCAGCTTGAGACTAATTTGCTGGGCACTGAAATCAGCATGATCCTTAGGTGGTCATGTTTTCACAGGACTGGTCTCAGTCACTGCCTCAGTGCTAACTTAGTGGAGAGAAACTCGCAGTTCTCTGTACTCACTGTTGACGTCTACAGAGGCATCACTCCTCATGGGCTCTGGAGTCCGAGTGCCTAGGCTCCAATCCCAGCTCCACTAAGGCGTGTAAGCTTGTTCAAGTTACTTACTATCTTTCAACTTCAGTTTCTTCATCTGGAAGATGGAATAATAAAAATTGCCATGAAGGATAAAATCACAATATAACACACTGTAAAACACCAAAAAGTCTATGTCTAAGACTTGGCTTGGTGCCTGTTTCAGCCTCAACCCTGCCCCCACCTCCCCCCATCCAGCTATTTAGCATGATTATTTTTATTTGATGTCTGTGCATTAAAAATAGGCTCTTCTAGATCTAGTTTTGATTTATTTTCCATACATTTGATGAGTATCAATATTTGTTGAAAGGAAATGTGATTTTGAATGTTTAAAACTGCCATTTTTTGAGGCCAGGCATGGTGGCTCATGCCTGTAGTCCCAGCATTTTGGGAGGCCAAGATGGGCAGATCGCTTGAGGTCAGGAGTTCGAGACCAGCCTGGCCAACATAAAACCCCGTGTCTCTTCTAAAAATACAAAAATTAGCTGGGCATGGTGGCAGGTGCCTGTAATCCCAGCTACTTGGGAGGCTGAGGCAGGAGAATCGCTTGAAACTGAGAGGCAGAGGTTGCAGTAAGCCCAGATTGCGCTGCTGCACTCCAGTCTGGGTAATAGAGCGAGACTCCATCTCCAAATAAATAAATAAATAAATAAATAGTTTTTAAAAATTGCCATTCTTTGAATTAGATACTCTAAAATAATATCATATACCATATAATCTAGGACTGAAGGTTGTTTCAATTTTTTAATTGATGATACCTATGTTTTACAAATATGCTAATAAGCATACACATCTTTTATGATAGAAAATTAGGTACTTTATCATTGTTCTAAAATGAGAAAAAAAAAAAAAAAAAAAGGATCCCATTGATGCCCATATCAAATTGTCTTTATTTTCTTGGTTCTTATTTTCTATTCCATAAACCTTGTAACAAACAGGCCCTTTGCTATGGGTTTGAGAACAGTATATTAATAAACAAATACAATATAAAATTGCCATTATTTAAAGTAATACATCTTGTAAGCTAAATGATTTTAGGAGATGAAATGTCAGGCCAGTCACCAGCTTAGAGACCAATACTTGTTAAATTTTAAGAAGTTAGGTTTAGAAGATTATTTTACACAAAACATTTGTTCAATATCTTTTGTATTTTCTTGAGGCACAAAAGTACACACATTAGTAAGTGATTCGTGTCCTAATTTGCGTCCAACTTTTATTTTCTTAATGCTTTGGATTGTTCAGGTAGGCAAGAGGAGGTTGAAAACCAATTCTAAGGCACAGTGTTGTGGCTCATACCTGTAATCCCAGCACTTTTGGAGGCCAAGGCAGAAGAATTGCTTGAGCCTAGGAGTTCAAGGCTAGCCTGGTCAACATAGTGAGACTCCATCTCTACAAAAAGAAGAAAACAAATTCTAGTTTTAGCTGTTACCTGATACCAGAAAAACTGATTTAAAAAAATTAAAATTGCTTATTTAGGGTTTTGTTTTGTTTTGTTTTTTAATTGAGACTGAGTCTCGCTCTGTCGTCCAGGCTGGAGTGCAGTGGTGCAATCTCTGCTCACTACAACCTCTGCCTCCCAGGTTCAAGTGATTCTGGTGCCCCAGCCTCCCAAGTAGCTGGGACTACAGGCACGTGCCACTACACCCGGCTAATATTTTTTGATATTTTTAGTAGAGATGGGTTTTGCCATGTTGGTCAGGCTGTTCTCAAACTCCTGACCTCAGGTGAACCGCCTGTCTCGGCCTCCCAAAGTGCTGGGATTACAGGCGTGAGCCACTGTGCCTAGCCTTAAGCGGTTATTAAAATGCATACCAAGTGCCAACTGATGCTTTCATGTGCAATGTCTCATTTAGTTTCTATGTAAATCTATGAAACAGGTCTTATGACCTGATTTTAAAGGTGAGGAAAATAAGGCCTGGATAATTTATAAAAAGATTATGTTTTTAAAAGATAATTTTTTTTTTCTGTTGAATTGCTGTTAATTGGGCCTTTTGTCTGATTTTCACTGATTTCAGGCACAGTGGATTGAAGTGGGGCTGTCAGTCACATGGTGTTTGAGGACTCCCATTGTAAATCAGGGATTCTTGCAGCCTGCTTTTTCAGGTAAAAAACATTCCTTTGAATTTTGCTTTATGTTTAAAACAGAAATCATGTTATTCGCTTCTGATTTGGCTGCAGAGCATGCAGCAGCATGCCCTCCAGAAATATCAAAGAAGGAAAAGCCTCCTGCCATGGCAAACTGCCTCAGCTGCTCTCCGAAAATAGACCTCAGTTGACTGAGGTTATGTCAGGTTCTGCTCCATGTTCTGTCAGAGGAATTTAGGGGTTATCTCTAGGATAATATGTGCAACATCTTTTGTGCAAATATAAATGTGACACTATTCTACATTTTATTATTAAAGCATTTGAAAAGGCAGCTTTCTTTATGGAGTTGGAGGCATTTTTGTTTGTTTGTGGTGGGTTAGATCAGGGGTTCTCAACTAGGAGTCAGTTTTGTGCCCCTGCCAGGGGTCATTTGACAATGCCTGGAGAAATTTTTAGTTGTCACAACTGTGGTTGCAACTGGCATCTAGTAGGTTGGGCCGCAGGTGCTGCTAAACATCCCACGATGCACAGAGAATTATCCAGTCCAAAATGTCACGTATGCTAAGGTTTAGAAACCCTGGATTAGGTTAAATTGCCTTAAAATGTAGCCCATATTTGCAACCTGAACCTGTTTAAAAGTGTTTCTCCCTTCCAGCGCAAGCAGAGTTAATGTGATGTTGAATTCTGTGGCTTTGTCTCAAGTCCTAAGTCTGATGAGATGATCAATGCCTCAGCTTCTTTCCTTGCTGTTATTGACTTTCTCTCCGCCTCTGGTATCCAAGCTCTTGTTGCTGGGGGATGTTCACAGGATAGTGCAGGAGATGAGGGAGAGCTGGACCCACTTCCCACCTTTTGAAATACGGCTTTAATTAGATAAGGAAAAATTATCTAATAAAAATCAATTCAACAGCAGATCAATGAAGAGATTAAGGAAGCAGGAATAGATGAATTTGCTGATAAGAATTAGAAATATGATTTGAATATTTTTGGAGAAAATAATTTATGTAAAAATTCCTCTCAAGTCATTTAGAAATATGGTTGCTGCATTCCTAAGACTCCCACCCACCCTTCCCCCACAAACGTTGTGGGTGTTTTCCCTTGCATTCCATCTGTAATATTCAGTACACTAAGTGAAATACAGATGTGGGTGTGGTTATTTTGTGTCAATTTCAATCTGATTTCCCAAACCTTGTCTGCATTCTTGCATTAGTTAGTAAACTAATTTTCAAAGCTGTGTTTTATATGCCTGATGTATTTTAGCATTCTGCTTGGTTTTTGGCAACGCGAATGTGGGCAGAATATGATTCTTGCACTTAAGAAACTGATGCAGTCCAGTAGTAGAGAACAAGTTTTAAGGAACTATTCATAATTAATGGGGTTTCCAATTAATGCTGTATAGAGAGAAGGGGTCTGGAAATATGCATGGGGCAAATTCTGTTTAGGGAACTGGGAAAAATTTTATGCACAAGGTAATTAGGGAGTTAGGTATTTAAGGATGAGTAGGAGTTTGACAAGCAGAGGAATAATAGAGAGAGGCCAGCAGGTATTAAAGAGCATGGATGAATATGCTGTGGTAGGAATATTATGTGAACAGGGTTGAATGGGAGGAGATGAATCTGGATTTCATCCTTCAAAACATGGTGAACTCTTTGGGGGAAGAAGTATTCTCTGTCCCTGTGGCAGTGCCAGGCACACGGCATCTCATCCGTATCAGCACTAGAATGAACCTCAGCAGCAAAGGGCTGTAGAGCGTATGTTCTGAGTCTCTACGCAAAGAAATAATATGATTAAAGGTGAGGATGCCAGGGGAGTGTAAATCAGAACAGCAGTAGGAAGTCTGCTCATAAGGAAACTAATCTGGGCAGGATGTGACAAGGACCAGGGCAGAAAGAAAGAAGGAGAGAGAAGGGATTCTGGAGACACTTGGCAGGTAAGTGTAATAGAATGTGATAAACAGAATAAATAGAAAAGTGATGTAAAGGGTAGATGGAGTTGCCATTGTCTTGGGCAGGGCGGACCAGGGAATGATACTGAAGTCATTTTATTCACAGTGTGTGCCCAGTATGCCTAGAACAACATAACTTTCAGAATGTCATGTTTGGGGTAGTACGTATGCTGGGGTAAACACTGCTCTGGTTGAGAGTGTCTGCCGAAAGATTTGCTGGTACACATAGTGATTTTCTCCTGTGCTTTGTCTCCAGGGACGTTGGCTGCTGTCTTCTGACCCACCCTGTGTGACTTTGGCGTCTCCTGTGACCTCCCAGTATGGGTCTTGGCTTCATCCTGCCTCTTTGCCTTTCTGGCCCACCACCCCCAACTTGAATCTCAGGCTCCAACAGTTGCCTGACCCCCAGACTCTGATGACAGCCTACCTACTTGTTCTTCAGACCCTGAGCAGACTCACTGCCCAGACACACCATACACGAGAACATGAAAGGGTGAGTGAATCTTTCATCATTTGATGACTAAGTTGGCATTCTTTTACATTCCAACCACCAGAGGAAGGTGTATTTTAACACAGTTGCCCTCACGTCCTCCTTAACAGGATTGACATAAGTTTATTAACACATATGTTTCTACAAAATCAAGTTTTGAGAACCATTTCTACACACTGATCTGGGACATTTTGGGGATATGAAATTAACTTTAGCACACACAGCAAGAAGAAAACCGAATAACAAATTCTACAAACACCAAATTTGCTGTGAAATTTACATTTCCGAATCTCTCAAGAAACAGTGAACAGCAGCAATTCTTACTGTTTTCACTTTTCCCCCCGTCTTCACATTTTTATGTTTGACAGTGCCAACATATTTTCTCGACATTTATTCTGAAAGGAATGTACTTTGTGAATTCCTTAAATGCAGGATGATTCTGATTTTATTTGCCTAACAACTCCTCCTTATGCGTGGGTTAGTATAACAGAATGCATTTGAGACCTACTATACTATTTTAAATTAAGACATTTCATGTAGCACATAATATTTTAAAATGAAGAACATTGTCTGGGAAAGCACACAGGCGAAGGAGATCAGATTTGACCTCCCAGTCTGCTGTTTTCTTGATGCAAGATAAATTTAACTTCTCTGTGCTTCAGTCTATACAATCAGTTTTCCAGGGGCGCTGTGTGTATAAAATGAGGGAGTGTATTAAAAGTATCAGCATGTAGTAGGTCCTTCAACAGAAGTTAGAGGTTCTAGCTCAAAGTCTGGCTTGTGTTCAATGAACACCAAACCACGTAATTGCCCTTGCCCTCATCCTCTGTTAATGCATAAAGAATTTAACCTATTCAGTCAACTGGCACAATGTAGTAAAAAAGACACACACACATACAGACACACACTCATTTGTTCTAATGTTAGTCTTTTTATAAATGAAAGATGAGTAGACATGCAACCTAGGCAGTGTGAAGGACCGGGATTAGTAATAAGTATTTCAGTCCGTAGCCTACAAGGCAGAGTTGGGGCCAGGTTGTCTGGAAAGGGCAGCAACAGGGTAATGGACACACCCTATCTACTGTCAACCAATCTCTACACAGAACCAGGTTCATTTACATTTGCTCTTTATGACATCCTGCAAGAAGGTAGTACTAACTCGATTTATAGATGCGGTAACATAAGGTCTGAGACTTTAAGTAACTTCCCAAGGTCACATGACCAGTAAGACTTGATACTGTGATTTAGTTTCAAATCTCTTATTTTCCAATGTTCCTTGCTGCTTCCTAGGGACTAGAAATGAGCCCATTGGCAGATACTGAGAAACATGTAAGAGTTTTGATAGCCCTTCCCCGTGAAGGAAGCTGTCTGCATTAATATGTCAATAGGCAGGAGGACAGATTCAGTCATGGGGTGGTCAGTGTAAGTCTCCTGTAAGTTTCTTCCCACCATCTCTAGGAATCTTCTGCAGCCTCTGACATTGTCCCCATGAGCTCTGCCCTGCTTCCAGCTCAGGAGGGGTCTGGGCTTTATCAGCTGGGTCAATGGCACTCAACTACCAAAGGAAGAAAATATTAAACAGAATGGGGTTTGCCGCTTCTAAACTCTAACACTAAGTTTGCACTTACTAGAATTTTTTATGAGCAGTCTAGGCTGATCTGGTTAATGTTTATCTACCCCCTCATTCTAAGAAGGATTTAGACAATTTTTGGAGTATAATAATGGAAATAACAGCAGGTTAAGTGGAGATAATGGGAAAATAAATGACTCACACATCAAATGCATAACTCAAAGACTCACCATTGAACACCATGAATTTGGCAGAGATGGGTCCTCCAGGGACCTGCTGCTGAGAGTTTTGGGCTGAAAGGTAATGCCAGATGAGGCTCTGTTCTGAAGAGGTTTTTTTTTTTTTTCCTGAGACAGAGTCTCACTCTGTCACCCAGGCTGGAATGCAGGGGTGCGATCTCAGCTCACTGCAACTTCTGCCTCCCGGGTTCAAGTGATTCTTCTGCCTCAGCCTCCTGAGTAGCTGGGACTACAGGCGCGTGCCACCATGCCTGGCTAATTTTTGTATTTTTAGTAGAGACAGGATTTCACCATGTTGGCCAGGCTGATCTCGAACTCCTGACCTTGTGATCTGCCCATCCTGGCCTCCCAAAGTGCTGGGATTACAGGCGTGAGCCATCACGCCCAGTCCTCTGAAGACTTTTTACTTGCTTAGGACATCCTTGCAACAGGTCATTTTTTGTCTGCTGATACATGGTCTAGAGATTGAAATTTGCAGGATTCTGCCAGACTGTTATTTCTAATTGGCTTTATGGTGGAGGGTGTGTTGAGAGAGTAACGTCTAAGAAAGGCACAGGATGTTCTGCAGGTAGTCATTTATTGTATTGTTGTATTAGTACTCTGGCTGTGAAGCAAACTGCCCTGCTGTCCCAAAGAACAGCACTGTAGGCATAAAGCAGGGTCTGATTTATAGGGAGGTAGTCTATCTTAGTACTTAGGGACACAGATTATGGGTAGAGTAAGACAGATTGAATCATGGCTGTGCCACTTACTAGCTGAGTCACGTTGGGCACGTGGTTTAATTTCACCATCTGGAAAACAGAGAGGTTCCTCATGTTATACCTTAATGTAACATTCTATAAAGAATACTTTAGTGTGAAAACACTGAAAATGCCTATTTTAAACACAATGAATACTATAAAGTATAGATACATTTCCAGATACCCATTATCCAAAATTTGATTCATCCACACTGCCCAGAAATGGTTAAATATCAATTAATGAGTATGTCATTAGTAATAAAGAAACAATAACAGGTTTTGTCAATTATTCTTAACTTAAAAATACAGACTCCTGGCCTGACGTAAGAATAATGATGTTGAGGCAAAAAGACAAAAGCATCACCTGGAGAAAGGAGTGAATCAGACGATTTTTGGAGTACAATAATAGAAATAACAGCAGGTTAGGTGGAGATAATGGGAAAATGAAATGAGTCGGGGTGGGAGTAGAAGGGAAGTCAGAGTGGTGGCAGATGCATATCTACCTCCTCCATCTTCCCCTTGGCATCCAGGAAGGTAGGTGCTGACAGAAGGTGATGAATTGCATTTTATTCTTTCTGAAGACTGCTTACTTTTGATATTTTTTTGAGGCAGAAAGGAATGAATGTAGCTTTAACCTCTTTGTACTATGAGTGTTCATGACCCTGGGATAATATTTGGAAAGTATGTTATACCAATGTATTTTTGTTCTCCATAAATTATGTTATCTAAAGGGCAACTCATTTACCCAAGACATTAATTTCTTCAGGGACACTTAGATCAGGAAGATCAGCACTCACTTTTGGGTTTCCAATAGATTTTGTTGAGTCTACATTGGAAACTAGGGTGTGTTGAAAGAGAAAATGTTTATCTTAATTCCACTCATACTTCTTAACATACCAAGAGCCAAGACACAGTATTGAGAGGAGAAAATATAAGTTTTAAGGGACTATCCTATTATATAGGAAATGGTTGGAGCCCTTGCACCATGGGAAGGAGGAGGCCAGCTAGTGGAGGCAAGAATCAGAGAGAACTTGGGTGAAAATGCTTATGAGGTCACTCAGAGGGACCTAGGGGACTCTTACCTGGAGGAAGGTGGGGCAGATAGATTGAGGAAAGAAATAAAAGGTAAAGGATTGGAGGACAAGAGGGCGCTGATGCCCTACCACCTGTTCCCTTCCTCCTATTTGAATTCTGGGAGGACCACCTAGTGAGAGGGCTGCCGGTCAACATGCGACTGTGGCTCCCGTTGAATACAGTATGTTTGCGAAGGTTAGGCAGGGAGACCCAGAGCTAGTCCTCCGAGTTCCCATGACTTGTGTGTGATGCGTAAGAGGCCCATATCTGAGATCCTCAAGGTCAGCAGGCCTGCAATATAGATGAGAATGAAAAGTTTGTGTCCTCTATAAACAGTGTGCAATACAAATAAGGATTGATGCCGTGACCCAGATTCCTTGAAAGGATGTCTTTCCAGGTTATTGTAAGGATTACTTTAGACACTGGATGTGTACGTGTAAGGACTACTTTGGACATCGTATGCCATGAGTTTAATACAGGGTGTTGAAGACAACAAATAGTCAATAAATGGCATCTCATATTATTGTTACTAACACATAGTGGTCGTTAATTTGGAAGTAGCAGTTGATTTGAAAAGTACCAGTGTGGGCCAGGCATGGTGGCTCATACCTGTAATCCCAGTACTTTGAGAGGCTGAGGTGGGTGGATCACTTGATCCCAGGAGTTCAATACCAGCCTAGGCAAGACGACAAAACCTTGTCTCTTCAAAAGATATAAAAATTATCCAGGCATGGTGGTGCACACCTGTAGTCCCAGCTACTTAGGAAGCTGAGTTGGGAGGATGGCTTGAGCCTGTTGGTCATGGTTGTAGTGATCCATGATTGCGCCCTTGAACTCCAGCCTGGGATGACAGAGTGAGACCCTGCCTCAAAAAAAAAAAAAAAAAAAAAGAAACAAGGAAAGTATGAGTGTGATTACTCTGGGAACATCATCTAGAAAAGTCTGAAAAATCTTGTGTTAAGAGCAATTCTGGTGTGGGTGTGGTTGCTTATAGGTGCAATAAAGGATGAGGGTGTGAGGCAGGCATTGTCTGGAATAAAAGCAGTGAAGTCTTCATTGGCACACCCATGAGGGTAAATGTGGCACCATATTCTAAGACAGAACAGGGCAGTGCAAACTCATGGGCATAGGCCACCCTGGGTTGGCCCAAACTTGTCATATTATGGCAAGCTGGGAGTCAGTGGGACTACGTCTTAGAAAAGGGACTGAGGTGGATGGAGAGATAGAGCTGATCCTCTTGCAAAATGGGTTTGGACCAAAAAAGCAAGTCTGATGGTACAAAGATAAAATAATCTTTTCTAGAAATGAGAGTAACTTGAGGGAAGAGACCCTATTTATCCAGACTTGTAGCCCCCAAAAGCTCCCACAATGCCTGATACA